GTGCAGAGACACATCTCCAGGTGAACCAAGTTTGGTTAAAAAAAAAAGTTCCATGCTAATGATAAAACTTTTCCTATTAACATTGACAACTCTGCTTAAATGGATCAAAGGAAATATTTGGTTTTTGGAGAGAGATGTGTGGAAGGTAAAACAAAATCCCGAAGACGATCTGGCTGACAAAATGAGGTTATTTACTATTCATGGAAGCTGAGCCCTTGAGTGGCAGAGTTTGCAAAGATCGTGTCCTGTAATGGAAACAAATCCCTTAAAGCGTGCCTGAGGGAATCCAACAACACATAAAAGCAAAATATAGCTGAGAGCTAGTGATGATGAAAAGATGACCTGTGGCTCCCGGGCATAACTCCAGTACACAGAAACATTTTATTAGCTGGAGATAAAAAGTACATCAAATGATTTACTCTCCCTCCTTCTGTTCTCACTTCTGAGTGTAGACATCACCTATGGAGAGCAAAATACTACACGAAGGCCCCGATTGGAAGGATACAATTGAGTTGTGTGTGAACATGTCACAAAGATGGATATCAATGCAATATATCCCTAGCTCCAAAACCAAGACAGAACATGTGCTAATGAGATGAAGACACTGGACACTAGCAGCAGAGAGTTCAGGACTCGTCCTGTCTCTGCCACACATTAACATTGAGGTTTGTTCCAAGCCATTAAATCTCAGTTTTCCTTCCCATCTGCCAAGTGGAAATTAGATTATCAGTTGTATCAAGCAAGCATGCACAATAATGAAAGCTTTCTTTCCCCTTCTGAAAACTGGGTTCTGCTAAAAGTCAAAGAGAGTTTCATGGATTCATTCCCATGGCCTCTATATCTAGAAGGAGACTTGTGCATTTGTATGGCACATAAACATCTATACAATGGGATACTATTCTACTGTAAAGAAAACCAAAATCGCGAAATTTGCAAGTAAATGGATGCAACTAGAAAGTGCTATACTGAGTGAGGTAACCCAGACCTAGAAAGAGACATACCACATGTTCATTCTTATTTGTGGTTCCTAACTGCAAATCTTCAGGTGTGAGTCTATAACCTAGAGTAGTCACCAAAACCAGAAAGTAAAAAGAGACCATAGGAGAAGGAGGCTCCAGAGAGGGGAATAATAGACTACATGTGTTATGAAGGGAAATTGGAAAAACAGACAAAGGGGGGCACTTAACTGGGTGGGGGGAGGAAAATACAGGAGAGGGAGGAGGGTATAAAAACACCAAAGATGTTAGAAAACCCATAGGGAAAAAAAGAAAAGTCATAAGCAATCATATTATTTTATGTTTGCCTAAATTAAATGGAGTTATATTGCTCACAGTGATAGTGTTTCCCCCAAGAGCCATAGATTATCAGACAAAAGCCCCAGTACTAGGTAGGAAAAATCTTTTGTGTTTTTGGTCAGAGGTATGCAAGTAACTCCTTAAACAGTACATACAATGGTTTCCCTGAGCAGAAGTCAAATGTAAGCTCCTATTGCTGAAGATAGTGCAGACTGCAGACACAAGTCTTGGTGGAATCAAGGTGGATCTGTCTGGAAAGCCTGATCCATGGGGACTAGCATTTACACTGCCAGTGGTATGCAAACTGCAAATGGAGAAAAATAATCAATAGTCCAACCCAGCTTGATGACTATGAAACACAAAAATTACCAGCAGGGCAAGATATCCCTAAAGGTGCAATTGTGTCACTCATATCTTGGCTGTAACCACAGCAGACTAATTGTAATCAAGGCCAATTCAACAGGAATCATGCCTGGAACTGGAAATGTAGGTAACCACTCATGGGTAGTGAGCTCATGGAACCTAGAGGAGAACCTACTACTGCTACTTTCCCAAACCAGTAGAAACTCTAACTACACCATAAATACTTATTCTTATACCCACAGATAAGTGTAGCTCTTGGCCCTCATCAAAACCAGATAAGTGTAGCTCTTGGCCCTCATCAAAACCAATCATCCATTGCAATGAATACTAACAAGTAAAGATGTACGGACTAAGGGGTATACTTTGTGACTCACTGTGCCATATCATAGCTTCTAAACCAAGATTTTTCTCTTCCTTCCTTTCTTCCTCTTTCTTTCTTTCTTTCTTTCTTTCTTTCTTTCTTTCTTTCTTTCTTTCCTCATTCCTTCCTTCCTTCCTTTCTTTCTTTCTTTTTGCTTGTTAGTTTTGGGGTTTTTTTTTTTTAGGGGGGAAGTGTTGAAAAGGCAGAGGGCAGAAGTGAGGGGACCAAGAGTTGAATGGGATTGGGATACATGATTTGAAATCCACAAAGTATCAATAAAAAGTTAAAAAAAAAAAAAGAAAAGAATCAATGAAAAAAGGAACTGAGCCTAGGGTACCCAACCCCAACAGATATATCTAAACCATAATCCCTCCTTCTAAGACTCAGATTACATTATATAAGAGGAGGTGTGTAGATTATGAGTCAGAAGATCAAGTCATCTGTTGTGAGATTGTGTCTTATATATATGGCCAGAGAGACAGAATTCAAAAAGTTTCAGTCATATAATTGCCTAAACAAGACTGGAACAATTAGATCATCTGCTGGCATGCCAATATGGTTTAAGAAAAAGAATCATATGGGTATGCAATCCTAAATGAAGGGTTACAGGTAATTACTACTGAGAGAGGAAGAATCAGTCCTCCCTAGGGATGAGCCCTCTAAATGGTTATCCAATAACAAATCATCAGTCCTAAAAACAAATACATATGAGAAGCACTGAATGTACTCAGAACATTGTATATGTAAATGTATTTATTTGTAAATATGTAACAATACTAATTTAACAAGAATATGTCATGGAACCGAGGAGTTAGGAGCCCCCAGAAGGGAATGGTGGAAGTAGAGAATGGGAAATGACATAAATACAGTCCACATATGTGATATTGTAAAATTAAATTAAAAACAAATAAATAAATAAACTTGGTAAATAAAATACAGAATAAAGTACCTCTTAATGTATCACTGAACATCACAATAATTTTCCTGAAACACACAAAAAATGTATGTGTTATTAAATGACAAATGGAATCAAGGATGCTTTCACTGGCATCTAGTTTGAGTATGAAAGCTTCTTTAGTAAAAAGCATAAAAATTAAAATAGTATATTGATAAGTCATAAAATAAAGGGATAGAAAAAACTATTTGTTAAAAATAGCTTAATATGGACAAGTCTAAAAGACATTCCGAAATCACATTGCTTCTTAGTATTATTAACTGTATAAAATTAGGCTGTCAGGTCTTGCTTTATGAAGTCAGTGAGGAGAAGAGAGAATCACAAGGGACGAATCACTGTCATTTGCAGAAAGCTACCTGGCAGTCTAAGAATGAAGTTCACTCTTCAGGGCATGCTCCTCTCAGTTGTTATAAATATGCGGAATGTCTCTGTCAGCAGCTCAATAAAGAAACTGCCCTCACCAATATGGTGTTTGTAAGGAGCAGGCAGCTGCTCACAGGGAAAGGGAACAAAGACATTTTGTTTCCAATTATTGTCACTTTGCCTTTTAGCTCATCTGAGCAGTTTCATGACCAGTAAGACAGAGAAGATTCTGAATGGCAGAGTAATTTAACAAAGTCCCTCAGATTCAAGGAGACTTGGCTAAGGGCAAAGGACAACATGAGGTTGGTTTATAGCAAGTTGTACCTACATGGATTCAGAAGCTTAGTCTATTGGGTTAGGAACATTTTCCAATATTTAAAAAAAAAATGACTGTATTACTTACTTTCCCCTGGGCCATCCTGAAATCTGTGCTACCAATCCATTTTCTCAGAGGCTCACTGGCTTATTAATCCTTGCAATATGTACAGTGTAAATAAGGGTCTTTGGGGGCGATTGGTGTCTTTTATAAGTAGTGTAAAATAGCATTTTTTCTGGATCTGTTTTTTTCTATCTGCTGTTCTGACCAAATATACTTACCTTACTGACTCCTTGGCATAATCTGAGATTGTCAAATTCAGATTTTCATTTTAAAAATCAGCAAGGATCAGAAAATGATCCACAGATATACTTAGGAAAGTACCAGGGTTTTACTTGTCAAGTCATGACAATGGAGTACCTGCGACTCTCTAGAAGTCATTCTGTAGCTGTCTTTTTTATCATAGGTCTGAGGTAACTGAACCTTCTGTAGCTCTAAAGTCTTAGAACTTAGGGCTAGAGCAGAAAGTAAATGGTGACTCTTAACCAAGTCATCTCCATGGACTACTAAGCAAATGAAAATGCTAATGACTGATCATACTCTTGTTATCATTGTAAAAGGAATAGCTGTTGTTCTAGACTTTTTCATCCGGAGCCACCAAGCTGGAATTACTCCAGAGCTGTAACTCCCAGAGACCCCTGTAAAGTAGTGAAGGATCCTCAAAGTCAAGTGTAAAGGAAGAAAGCATTGTTAGCTGGATAAATAAACATAGCATAAAGGTATGAAACCAACAAACACATCAACTACCCTTCATTTCCCATTCTACCTTTTAACTGACTCCAAGCACTGATGGGACAGTGAGATAGGGACAGGCAAAAAATGCTGATCTTCAGATGAGGCTGTCTCACTGGAAAGACTCAGAGTCCCTTACAAACAGAAAAGCAGCTACCTGGCAAACATCAAAATGAATAGAGTGAAAGGAAAAGGCTCAGCTACCAAATTCAGTTCAACAGAGAGCTCTGGGGTTCCTAATGTTTAACCTGGGTCCACCAAAATATATTTACCTATATGCAATGCCAGCATTCTTGTGCAGGAGTCCATATTAATATAGTTCTAGTTCCTAGAACTAGGAAATATCTCTCCTTGGCCTCCCTTTATATGACAGCTAAATATAAACATGAAATTTGCAGATCGTCTAGCACAGCACAAGTTTTACGAGACATTCAGGAAGCCATTACCCATGTTAACCATTCTTTCCATGACTTCTATTTCTACCATCCATAGGGATCATGTTCAAAAGTGAGTGCCCTGTACAGACCTGTTGAGAATATTTAAGCATTTCTCTTGCAGTGGCGGAAGTGGACTCCACCTTCTAATACCTGAATAGGTCCTTCATATCCAACTCCACTCTCTAAGCAGTACATGGTTCACTATAAACACGTCAGTCAGAAGGGACTCGTCTACACTGAGAAGACATTATCTTGCTAATAGCATCTAAGGTGATTTATATTTTACATACATTCCAGTAATACAGGATACTTTAGTAATGACCTTCGTATCACAATTATCAACTATAAGCTCTCTAAGATCAAAAATTTAGTCAGTTTTAAAAAAACGGTGAAGTATTATAATCTAGAATATTAGTGCATTGCAAATATTTTTTCAGTTTTTATTTTGTGGTTTTTGAGTGTCTATCATTTTTTTGCTAATGTTTGTTTTTGTTTTATTTCTCAGAAAGGATTTTTTGGAACCCAGTTTGGCCTTGAACTCACTATACATCCAAGGCTGGGCATGAACTCCTGATCTTCCTGCCTCCACCTTCCAAGTGCTGGAATTACAGACATTGGTCACCGTGCCCAGTTTGCTTGTTAGCATTTGAGTGAATAATGGAGTGAATGAATTGCATAAGGGAACCAACAAGTCAGTGAACTTCCTTCCAGTCTGGAAGAATTAACTCAATCAAGGAAGGAAAGTTTAGCTTATATCAGGAAGAAGGAATTTTAATTTCATTCATTCATCACCTCTTCACCAGTCATACAACCTAAGGAAGAGTAATCTGCAAGGTTTCCATGACAACCTTGCTCCAAGGATGCTTTCTGGAACATCCTTCCAAGAACATATTCCAATCCCAATCTTGCTTTACAATGAATGTCTAATTGAACTGAAATGAATCATTACTAAGACAAATACTTAATGTTTTCATCATTTCATTTTTCCTGTGAACTTTATTTTTGTTTAATTTTCCAAAATTGTGTATGATCCAGCAATAGTGTTGCCATTCTCTGTATTCTCAACTATTAGACTATGTGTTCCACAAAGAACAGGACATTTACTTGTTTCATTCAGTTATATGTTACAATCACCCTGAACATTGGCAAACAATGACCACTAAATAACATTCCTTTCATTTGTCAATTCTCCATCTACCTAAGTTAAATACAATGTAGCCCTTGACGCTGTTGTTGTGATTCTTTGCCTACTGTCACTCCTTGTTACAAAACTAGATACTGCATTTTCCAAAAAATGTATTCCATATTCAAAGGCCCTGTCTGGAAAGAACACTGTAAAGTGTCAAGTGAAATTATTTAGTCATGCTTTGGATTGTTATTTGGGTGTCCTTTGGGACACACTGCAAGACTACCACTGAGTGCTGGAGCTGAAGGGTGTCAAGGTAAGACAATAGAAGAATTAGAGTCACATTAAAACCTCTGTGTGCAATACCTTAGTTAATCTCAATAACTGTCTTGTAAGTTTTATTGTACATTCAGAGAGAGAGAGGGGGGCTGCAGCTCAGAGTCTGACTTGCCTCAGATACACACCACTAGTAAAGATGTGGTGTATTGCCTTATCACTCTTCCTTGGTTATTTGTCTTCTGTCTCTTGCTTAAGTTCAGGTGAATTTGATGGAGTTGTACAGTTACAAAGTCAAAGACAAACATACAAACTCTTAGGATACCTATCAGACTTGCCACCCTCTGTCACTTCATAGAAGATGTAACCACAAAACAATGAATAAAATAGCAAACTGCAGAACAAGGGTTACTCTCTTAGAAACAAGTCCTCTGGTGAAACAGTGTTTTAAAAAGTAGAAATAAAAACCTGTAATCTGCACAAGGTAGAAAAATACATAATGGCATAGGTGGACAATCTTTCAAAGTAAAAGGATAATTGTAATTGTTCAGGGATATATGCCCCTAACCCCAGGCCAGGTGGCAGATGCTTCCTAGACCTTTGTCACACTCTGCTCCACATGCCCCTTAGGTCTGTGGGGGTGGGGGAAGCCTCCTCACCTTTTCACTAATCATGCTTGACATCCAGTTGGTGCACCTACCAGGAGGAGTCTATTTGTGGTTTTCTAGGTCAGCCAGCTCTCAGTGAGGAGAATGTCAGTATTTAGAGGTTGCCTAGGGTTGTAATTAAGTTACTTTGCATAGTCTGGAAAGCTCAGGAATAATCTTTTCTGTCCCCAGAACTGAGTTTTCACTTGTACCCATCTCCTTTAAGGGAGGTGAATATAATCTGAAATTACAGAAACTGAATGAAGCTTTAGGCCATCTACCTACCGGAGTCAAATTTTAGACCGTAGAGGGAATCTTGCTAGTGCCTTGACTTAGTCATATTTTCTGTAAAATCAATAAAACCACTTCATTTACCTATTTCACCTACTATTTCATGGCATCTCCCTTTGTCTCTACTACTACCTCTAGAAATGTGTACAGTTAGATCAAATCAGAGATAAATTATTTTGGGTCTAGAGACATATGTTTGTCTAGGATATGGTCTCTTACCTAGATTGTTAAGAGACTTTTAATAAGAAGATCATTTGATTATTAAGCATAAAAGAAGAAACTTAAACACTAACATTGAGTTGCAAAGACAAAATAAGTTTCCTCAGTTGTAAATATCAAGTGTTACCGTCTTAGTAAAACCTAGAAAGTCAGGCTTAATCACACATCACAGGTCTTCTCTCTGTGTATAATATGATAATTTGTAAAGATCATGAAGCCAAGAAACAGATAAAAATATATCACAAAGATGTATCAGGCATTTTATCAATTAAAACTGTGTTTTTTAAAGAATTCTTAAATTTTGTTTTGTTTTTCACCATTGAGACTATTTTCAAAATGTATACTTCATTGTGATATTTCTTTCACTTAAAATGAAAGTTTAACCATGTTTTGATAATTTTATGCCACTTTTCTGAAAGGGATCTGCCAAATAATATAAAGTTTGATCTCTGCAAAATCTGAGTTTGCTTTTGTTGGAGGTAGCTTTTAAAAGAAAACACAGATTAATGCTCTATTGCACAGACTCAACATCCAGTGCTTTCAGAATAGCACGTGGCCTCTTCTACCAATATAGAGAAGATGAAGTTCACCTGGAGTTAAAGGAATATTAATGCACTTTTTCCCTGCCCCAGGACACAGACATGGAAGCCCTGGAGAGTTAGAAAGGTGACATTATATGATTTTCTGTGGACCAGTTTCCTTAGGCAATCAGAAATAATTAAAGAAAGTTCTCAGGAAAGATGTTCTCTGCAGAGCATTTCTACAGTGCTGATGCTGGACAGCTCCCCCTGGATGTGATAGAGAAGCCCCCAGAGAAGGTGGAGAAATGGCTAGCTAGGGAAGAGCCACAAGTAGTGGGCAGGAAGAACAGCCAAAAGCAGGCTATCTGAAATGTCCATTGACAAGCCCACAGTGGCCAAGGACCAAGAAGCATTGTATATGTGCTATTGATCTACATGCTGCCAGGAGCAGAAGGGGATCTCAAGACAGAGAGCAACAATTCTCAGTGGGAGCCATATATCCCTCTTTGTGAATATTTTGGAAATTTGTGGGGAAATTTTGTTGTTGTAGTTATTGCAATAATGGTGGAATATTCTTGACTTTATTGGGCAAGGCTTTTAGATAATTTCCAATGTATCAGACGGCCAAGGCTATTAAAGATCTACTCTGTGCTCTGTGGTGGTATATAAAGCATTGTTGGTATGGCACTAAGTGGGTGATAGCCCCACTTAGTGTTTGAGTCCTGTCACATAAATGTGAAGACATTATCTTAATATACACTGAATTCGATACCGTGTAAAGAATGAAAATTTGTTTGTGAACTCTCCAAGGCTCATCAGCTCAAAATAACATGACCTTGTAGTCAAAGAAAAGTGTGTCATTTCTGTTATAAACAGACTGTATCTGATTTATTATGAGTGTGCAGTTGTGGCATTTATAGGCTTTGGACTCACACAATGTTCACTTCTATAACAGTTACTACAATTCATCAAATGCAAGACAAAATTTCTGAAGATACGTCTGGAGTTGCTCAGACATTCACCATGACCATGAGTAAGTTTTAATAAGACTTTGTTTGTTTTTGTTTTTATGTACTGGTGCCCTCCTGGCACCAGGACTGGACCTGAGAGAGCTCCCAAGAGGCAGCTTGTACCCATATCAGCCCAGAGCTTACAAAAGTAAAAACACAAGATTATATATGTATTTTGCCTACATGAAGGTATGGTCTTATTTTAACATACATGTCTTGCACTGTCCTAGTCATTTTTTTTAGCAGAGTAAGCAAGTTAGATTACAAAAGCAGAAGTAGCAGTTAATCTCGTGACTCATTATCTTTCAAGAACAGCAAATTTTACAAGATCAGTCATGTGGTGATATATTATCATTTAATAAATATTGGCTGAAGTATCAGAAAACAAACCCAGCCACACTAGTTACCTTTAGAAGCTAGACAGTGGTAATATACACCTTTAATCCCTGAACTCAGTAGACAGGCAGATAGATCTCTCTGAGTTCAAGGCCACCCTGGCCTACATAAGAGTGAAGAGTAACAGAGCTCTCACATTTGATCCCAGAAATTGGGATCAAGCACCTTTAGTCCCAGCACTAGGGAGGTGGAGACAGAAGGATATGGCTGGGCAGAGACAGGAATATGAGGAGGAGACAGGAATTTAGAGCTTTTGCCTCTGGGAATTCGTGGAGACAGGACAGCCCTTTCAGCCTGAGGTAGAGGTAAGAGCTAGTAGTTGACTGGTTTTGCTTTCTGATATTTCAGGAAATCTTTATCAAATCATAAATAATGTATCCCCACAGAGTCAGTTTAAGAATAGTCTTCAATGTCTGGAATAAAAGGGAAGTGGAATGACCTGGTTACAACCTCTACAAGGTGTATGTGTTTGTTTATGTGTATGTGTTTGTGTGTGTGTATGTGTTTGTGTGTGTGTGTGTGTGTGTGTGTGTGTGTGTGTGTGTGTTTAGTAACTTTATTACATATTTGTTAGATCATTAAATAGGTTCACATCAAGAGTCACATAGATTTTTGATTACATGGCTTTCTCCCTCTCTTCCCATAAAACAAATTAATTTAACCATGGTTTTCAGATTATCTGGTTTATCTAATTGAGATCATCAAACCTGTTGTCTTGCAATACTTGTAACTATAGTTACAGTTGTAGCATTATCCCCATGGCCTCATAAGAATTGTGTTATATTGTTACTCTCTCTTGTCTTCTAGGAGTTGATGCCATAAGTCCCTGCACTTACAAGCAGGCTCCAGAATTTGATGAAGAGAGGAAACATAGGTCAAGCTCTTCATCTGTCCAACTTTAAAAGTCTATCTACATTAGCCATCCATTGGTACAATATAGCTTCCAAGTCTGCAAATTGTATTTGGCACCCACATGAAAATCAGTTGAGTAAGAGATGTGTGAGGAAATGTTATTATTTTTTAGTTGTGGCAAAATAGATAGCATAAAATATAGTATATTAGCCATTAAATATACAACTCAAAGGTATTAAATATGTTCATTTTGCTGTACAACAACAACAAAAAAAAACCTTTTTGTGTGGTCTGAACATGCTTTCTGTAGAGTTGGAATTTTATCTGGAGACTTTTTAAAAAAACTTTTACCCGTCTCTCATACATTGCATCCCAACTGCATTCTTCCTCTCCTCCCAGGCCCCCAGTCCCTCTCCCACCTCCCCTCTCCCCCAGATCAACAAATCCTCTGTTTCTCTTAAGAGCAGGGGGCGTGGTGAAGAGATAGAGTGAGTGAGAAAAAGAAAGAGAGAGGGAGGGACAGAGAGAGAGGGGGGGCCTCACAGGGATATCCACCAAACATGGAACATAACCTAACAAAATACAATACCCGCCAGACCCACCTGGCCCTGCTTGGCATGGACAGGCAGAAGACACCACAGGCCTGCCCAGTGCCTTGAGGCATGGGGCAGGTGGGAACCATTATGGTGAGCAAATATATGGTGGAGAAATGGAAGAGAAAGAGAAGCAGAGCAGCTCAAGTGTTGTGGAGAGAGGCAAAACTGAAGACATGAAGGCAGTGAGAACAAGCTGATTTGAGTGGCCTGTGCTGCCATCTGGGGTCATAGTGATATCTGGCCTGGCTGCTGCTGAGGACAATGTCTGGGTCTGAGACCCTAATGCAGCTGGGGTCTGTGTTGTCTGTGGCTTGTGTTACCACCACAGGCCATACAGATGCCTTGAATCTGAGCTGTCACCTGAGGTCTTGTTTGGCTGTGAGTCTCTGTATCTGCTCCCATGTCTCTTGCTGGATGGCACCCCTCTGATGACAGTTGGGATATCCATGAGTATAGCCACTTTGTTTTGGGGGATTTTGCTTGCTTGCTTGTTTTTTTGGTTTTTGTTTGTTTGTGTGTGTGTTTGTTTGTTTTGCCAGTCTGAGTCTCCGGGTTATCCTACCTCTGGTTCCTGGCCATCCAGGCAGTGTCAGACATGGGCTCCCTCTTGTGGCTTTGATCACATGTTAAAACCATCATGGGTTGGTCCCACAAGTTCAGCAACAGCACATCTTGCCATCAGGACAGATTTTAGGTTGAAGGTTTTGTGGCTTGGTTGATGTTCCTGTCCTACTACTAGGAGCCTTGCCTGGCTATAGAAGATTTGACCAGTTAAGGTTCTGTATCCCCCATTACTGGGAGATTTCATTAGGGTCACAGTCATGGATTCCAGAAAGTTTCCACTGCACTAGGTTTTTACATTGCTGGCTAAATGCCCCTCAATTCCAGTTGTCTCTCATAGTACTCTGTCTCTGTCTCTGTCTCTGTCTCTCTCTCTCTCTCTCTCTCTCTCTCTCTCTCTCTCTCTCTGTCTACTGCACCCATTCCCATTCCCATCCACCCCAGTTCACCTGCAATATCCATTCTATTTTCCTTTCCCGGGGGAGATTCATGCATCTCCCCATGAGTTCTTGTATCTTATCCTCTCTGGGTCTGTGGGTTTCAGCAGAATTATCCTTTACTTAAAAGCTATTGTACACTTATAAGAGAGTACATACCATGTTTGTCTTTCTGGGTCTGGGTTACCTCACCCAAGACGATCTTTTCTGGTTCCATCCATTTTCATGCAAATTTCATGATATCATTGCTTCTAACAGCTGAATAATACTTCTTTGTGTAAATGTTTCACATTTTCTTTATCCGTTGTTTGACTGAGGGTCATTTAGGTTGTTTCCAATTTCTGGCTATTATGACTAAAGCGACTATGAACAAGGTTGAGTATGTTTCCTTATGGTAATATGGGTATATGGCCAAGAGTGGTATATTTGGGTGTCAGGGCCCAGATATGACTATGATATTTCGGATACAGGCCTTAAGCTCAATTCCAGGAGCTTGAATCTCCTATTGTTTTTTAGATGTCAGCTGGCTACCTCCGGATGGGCTGCCCAAGGTGGAGAATGTTTCCTAGTTTGTATAACAACAGACCTAGGCCCTGGGTGGGCCCACACCTATCCTGAAGGCTGGTGAAACATGCCTGGTGCCTGGAAGGCTAGTGCCCTTGTAGAATTTCTGAGGGCTTGAGTACTTGCTTCAAGGACTATCTTGAGGATAAAAGGAAATATTTAATATCAGCTCTATACTTGATAATAGATGTCTCCTGCCAGTACCCCCACTTTTGAAAGGCTATTTAAAAGGATGCTTGAATAAACTGTGGTCTCCAGTACTGACTGAGAGCCCTCCTGAGAAAATGTCTCTGTTCCGCCCTTAACTCCACTGGGTAGCTAGTATTTTACTGATCCACACTTCCCCACTCTGGGTTGGACCCAGGGCTGGTAGGCTGGTTCCAATTGCAGCCCCAAAGACATCAGTCCCGAATAGATGGCCTCTGTAGCATGGAACTGATACAGGCCAGACCCCTATGGCTGGGTCTTGAAATTGATTCCTAATTTTATGAAGAATGGCCATATTGATTTTCATAGTGGCTATATAAGTTTGCACTCAAAAATTGGTTTTAAAAGTTTACCAAGGGGTGGGGAGAAGGGTAGGGAGGGGGAAATGAGGTTGGTATGTAAAATTAAAAATAATTTAAGTTAAATATTTTTAGAAAGAATTATCAGGTAAGAATTACAAAACAAACAAAAAAAAAGTTTGCCACCACATAGAAACTGTAAGCAAAGAAGCAAGTAAGACTCAACGTTTACCCATCAAAACACTTCAAATAGACCCAGGGAAGGCTCACTAGGCATCTTAAAGTCAATTTTAAAATAAATTTTAGATGAAAAAATTGGATCTGCTTTCATATACCTCATTTAAGAAAGATGCTAATTCTCTCTGGTTTCTAGGAACTCAAAATAACTAAATCATGTTAGGTATGCATTAGTCAAATAATTGTATGTCTTTGTAAAGAATTCACCAAACTGATCTGGCCTTCTAGATGTCTGCGTGCTGATTAATTATGTTTTCCCTATAACCAAGAATTACATCAAGTCTTTCTTCAGCACAGGGGAAATTGCTGTTCCTGTATGTGCATGTGCACACCTGTGTGTGCAGAAAGAATCACATCTGTTTGTGTTACACAATCCCCACAAAACTGTGTTCACATAGATGTCTCCTGCCAGTACCCCCACTTTTGAAAGGCTATTTAAAAGGATGCTTGAATAAACTGTGGTCTCCAGTACTGACTGAGAGCCCTCCTGAGAAAATGTCCCAGCCATGTAAAGAATATCCTGCTTGCTTTGAATATTACACATTGGTAAACACTTTTAAATGCCATTGTATCCTTGTGTAATAATATCTAAGTGTTGTTGGGAGAAACAAATAAGTCCCAGAAGATTATACCACCACCTGCTAAGCCTCATGTCTACAGACACCCAGTAGTTCCCTTTGAATATCATCAGACAAATAAAAGTTCTAATTTGTGTGCCTAAACAGGACTGCTGTGTCCAATGTGTGCCATGTGTCTTCAGAGCAATCAGTTCTGAAACCATATATACACAGGTAGCTTCAAACAGGCTCAATGGGATGTATTTATACATTTATGCATATATTTATTAAACAATAATATCAAGGAAAAATTTACCCTGTAAATCTGATGAAGGCTGGGGTGCTTGGGAGGGGCTGGAGGTAGAGGAAATATAACAGGTTGGAGAGAAGAAAGGAAATGGGAGAAAAATGCTGGATTACATTTTAATTAAAATAAGAAATCTATAAATGAAAAAAATATTTCCTTTCCAGAATACAAACTACATAGTTTTGGTTTAAAATTATATTCTGGTTTAAAAAAAGAAAAAAGCATTCCATGCTCTGAAAATACACAGGAAAAAAAAACAACAAAAATATTTGTTAAAACAAAAAAAAAAGTAACACAGTCACTGTGTTTCTTTTTATTTACATGATTTCATAATGTCTTCCTTGAGCCTTAACATGGTCACCCTACTTAACTAAGCAATGGACAGGCAAGTTATTTCTGTCTATTTATGAAGAAATAAATAAAAATAGAATGAAGAGAATTGGATTATTTGACCTAACTGTGCTTTAATCTTTCCTTTGCAGAGGCAGCTGAGAAGAGGCAGGGACAACACCATGCTTCAGTTCAGCTTTGCTTTTCAGCATGGCTGGTTCCAGATGCTAGGATTACTTGGGAAGTGTAATTAGTTTCAATTAACTAACATCTGGCCAAACATAAACATTATATTTGAGATTCAGGTAAAGGAGAGTTCATTTCCACAGGGCAAGCTTGTTTATATAATGGTCTGAATAAGATTGAAAAATCCTGTTTAGAGGCCAGGGAGAAGGCTCAGTGGGTGAAGCTCATGCTGCTCAAGAATGAGGTCATAAATTTGGATTCTCAGAAAGCAAGAAAAAAGTTGGGTGTGGAATTGTACACCTACAATCCTAATGCTGGGAGGTGGAGCCAGGAGGATCCTGGTGCTCACTGGATCCTACCTCAAAAAGTAAGGTGGATGCTGCTAGAGGAAAACACCCAATGTCAGCGTCTGTCCTCAACTTGCACGTGCATATATGGGGCATGCACCTGTTCATACACACACACACACACACACACACACACACACACACACACACACACTGAGGAAGAACTAGACTAATAGAACTTTCTTTTGGGAGTAGCTAACCAATATCTGATTTGACGTAAGGGCCAACCCACAAGATAAAATCCATACCTGATACTGCTTGGGTGACCTAGAACCAAAGAACCAAAGACTAGATAGCCCAATAACCTAGGGAAAAATAAATACTACTGAAATACTACTGATCTTTTTTTAAAGGGGGGGGTAGTGATAAAATGACTCCTGATGATATTCTGCTATCCTGAATAAGGTGTGTGACTTATTCAACCATCATCAGAGAAGCTTCCTCCTACAACAGACGGTGGAGGTGGAGGGAATAGAGACCCATAGCCAGGCATTATGCAGAAAGATAGAGATAGACAGAGAGAGGAGAGAGACAGAGGCAGAGAAAGAGAGCAAGCTTGGAACACATATCTCTAAATGGGAAGTCTTCATCAAATTCCTCCCTTCAGAGCTTAGGAAACCCAGTGAAAGATGGGGTGAAAAGAGCCAGGGGGGATAGAGGACA